ACTGTTATACGAAATGTACGACCTGATTATTAAAGAAACGTGAAAGAAAATTCAAGGGTTTTTTCCATAATACATTAACCTCTCTCTCTCTCCAGGAACCCAACCGGTTCTTTGCTGTTTCTTGAGTAACCTGTGAACGACCGCATTTGTTATATGTATATATTTACATGTGAGATATTAAAAACATACTACTCCCGACAGTAGGATGGTCACCCATTTCTCTAACTACTTTTACGTCGAATTATATTTAGCCATCTAAAAAAAACAAGAAAAAAGCGGAAAAACAAAATTTCACGTTTCAGGTTAGGTGCTGATCTTGTATTAAAAGAAGTCATTCAAATGCACATAACATGTTATAAAGCATAAATTTAATATGATGAATTATAAAATGTGTTTTACCTCCATGATCTTGCTAATTGAGATATCTCAATACTAGAATAATAAACTTTTGTTCCCATTTACCCGGGGAACATTAATAAATTACTTCAATACTGTTGGTCCCCTATAGGCACAGCGGTATGTCTGCGGACTTACAACGCTAGAAACCAGGTTTCGATATCCGTGGTGGGCAGAACACAGATAGCCTTCTGTATAGCTTTGTCCTACAATCATACTGTTGACACATTGAAGTCGCTAGGTTTGAAAGTATCGGAATGTAAACCAAGTGAAACTTTTTGTCTTTTTTTACAGCAGGTTAGGAACAACCAGATTCAGGACCAAACTAAGAAGTGATTTAGAATACTTACTTAACACAGTTTTATTTACAGAAAAACTACAGATAGACACTAGCTTTACGTCCTATAAGATGTGCCTACGGTTCTATTTACTCATTTATTTGTAGCTTTAAATACTTATATTAGAATAAATAGAACTATTTGGTCTCTATACAGTAAAGAAGCTAACAACTAGTGGTTAATTCAAAATGATCTTGTTTTATGGGGATGTTATTAACATCATTTTAAACACTTTAAATATGCCAAGTGCTTAGATAAAACGTGACAAAACCTTTAGATACGCAAAGTTCTCAATTAAAACGTGACAAAACCTTTAGAAACACCAAGTGCTCAAATGAAACGTGACAAAACAAACTGAATAAAAAACTTGTGCACGGTGATTTTCAGTTTCTTTATTCATAGAAATCATTATAAGTTCCTCGAGTTTAGAAACAGAGTACCTTTGAATCTAAAGCTTGTTTGTTTTATGACAAAGCCACATTGGACTATCTTCGCTGACCACTGCGGGGAATAGAACCCCGAATTTTTACGTATTTATTTCTTAAACTTACTTTTGACCCACCGGAGCACAGAAGTCAAAGAAAGGCGTGAAAAACTGTAAATTTTAGTTTACATAAATATTAAAATCGCTTTACTTAAAAGTTTATTGTAGTGTGATGTAGCTTTTATAGAGTTTTGAGATCTGGGCCGAAACAAGTAGCTTTTATAGAGTTTTGATATCTGGGTAGAAACAAGAGCTTTTATAGACTTTTGATATCTGGGCAGAAACAAGAGTTTTTATAGAGTTTTGAGATCTGGGCCGAAACGAGAGCTTTTATAGAGTTTGAGATCTGGGCCGAAACAAGTAGCTTTTATACAGTTTTGAGATCTGGGCCTAAACAAGTAGCTGTTATAAAGTTTTGATATCTGGGCAGAAACAAGATATTTTGTAGAGTTTGAGATCTGGACCGAAACAAGTAGCTTTTATACAGTTTTGAGATCTTGGCCGAAACAAGTAGTTTTTATAGAGTTTTGAGATCTGGGCCGAAACAAGTAGCTTTTATAGAGTTTTGAGATCTTGGCCGAAACAAGTAGTTTTTATAGAGTTTTGAGATCTGGACCGAAACAAGTAGCTTTTATAGAGTTTTGAGATCTTGGCCGAAACAAGAGATTTTATAGAGTTTTGAGATCTTGGCCGAAACAAGAGCTTTTATAGAGTTTTGAGATCTGGGTGATGTTGACTAGTTGCCGTCTCTCTAGTCTATTACTTCAAAATTATGGATGAGTAGCCCAGATAACCGTCGAGTAGTTTGCGTGAAATTCAACAAGAATAGCAGTTTTAGAAACCAAAAAGTATAAGTAAAATAAGCCATATTTCTTGAATTAAACAAATTAACTTTGAAAGTATTTATAAATATCTAAAGGTATTCCCTGGATATGTTTAAAGACAGATGACTTAACAAACACTTTTTTTAATTGAAAGTCGTATCTTCTTTTTTATTCGAAACATTCGGTAAAATAGAATATTTTTTTTATTTATTTACTGATTATAATGCTTTACAGTTTAATAAATCATTATTTTTGTGTTTTTGTAATTTTCTGGGCTTTCGTTATTCTAGTTATTCAAAACTAGGGACGACGGCAGAAAGCTTTGCCATACAAATACAAAAAAATTACCTTTAAATACGGTCTGAAGGAAATCGGCAAGTCAGCCGGAATCTTACTACGCATCATATATATACTAATCGATTGACTATCACTCTTATAACGCACCCACAACTTAAACTGTGGGGAATATTTTGTGGTATCACACAGATTCGACTTTAGCCCGCGAACTTCAAAATCCAGAACTTTTCCATACGACAATTAATGGCAATCAAATCATTGCGTCAAACAGCTTTATTTCATTTTAATTCATTAATCAATAGGATAAGTTATAGCTAAAAGAAAAATGATTTAGTACAGGTAAGCTTGGTGGCTTATAACATTAACATTCTTGATTCCATCCCCGCTGTAGGCACAGTAAAAACAGTCTATTATGCAGCTATGCATTTAAACAGATAGACAAACAAATATCTTAGTTTGCTTATGAGGGAAAGGTAAAATTAAAAACCCAATAATACCACCACAATACTTTGTTTACAAAAAAAAATTAAATAAAAGCCATCAATCGATGTTTCATGAAAGTATATGAAATACCTATCTCTGATTTCAATAACTGACTTCAATAAAAAGTCCTAAGTTTATCAAATCAGAATGCATCCTCAAATAAGTTAAGTGAATATGTAACTAAACAATTTTCACATTTATATTAATTCATTTTTAACGAATATATATTTACATGAAATCCTAGAATTTGTTAACTCCGTCACATTGCTGAGGTAAATTTCCAAACTGATGAGTTTATCTTTCGAAAGGGCATGATTTTTATAATAAGGTGCGAATATGCTACAGTAAAATACAACGATTTAGTCATATGAAAATTTGCCTTTAATTGTTTGTACATTTTCTGTAAAACATGTGTGGGCGTCTTTATGTTTTATGTTTTGGTTTTTTTGTCTATGACAGATTCTCAAGATAGCTTTACGTTGGTCCTAATTTGTTTCAGAATTTCGCCCAATCCAACATAGCCGTCCTTAAGGAAATGCCCCCCCCCCACTGGCACAGCGGTATCTCTGCGGAATTACAGCTCTAGAAACCGGGTTTCGATACCCGTAGTGGACAGGGCACAGATAGCCCATTGTGTAGCTTTATGCTTAATGACAAACAAAAACCCTAAGGAAATTACCATTTATTTTTTAAAATAAACTTCATTGGGTAACTTCATAATTCTCAGTAATAAGTCCTGAAAGTAATTAAATAATAAAACTAAAAAAAAAAATTCTATAAGAAATTCTGAAAGTATGTTGAATAATATATTTGTAGAGATTTATTAGGTTAACTCTATACCAATTGTATTTCAGTTTAGACTCTAAGCAAATTTTAAAGTTAGTCAAGAAGTTTTGAAATTTACATTATGTTATTGTTTGTTTGTTATCGATTTCGCGCAAAACTATACGAGGACTATCTGCACTAGCCGTCCCTATTTGAGCAGTGTAAGACTAGAGGGAATGGCAGCTATTCATCACCACCCACCGCCAACTCTTGGGTTACTCTTCACCAACGAATAGTGGGATTGACCGTCACATTATAACGCCCCCACGGCTGAAAGGGCGAGCATGTTTGGTGCGACGGGGATTCGAACCCGCGACCCGCAGATTGCGAGTCGAGCATCCTAACCACCTGGCCATGCCAGGCCTATATGTTATGTTACTCTTCTGTAAAAACGCATCTTCATGTTAAACGTAATTCTTTTAAAGAAACTAGAAAAATAATCTATTGTTCATTTTCAGTGTGTTAAATTAAAACTTAGCATTGGTACTTTCTGTAGCGTCTAATTAGTAATTTCTGTAGCGTCTAATTGGTACTTTCTGTAACGTCTAATTGGTACTTTCTGTAGCGTCTAATTAGTACTTTCTGTAACGTTTAATTGGTACTTTCTGTAGCGTCTAATTAGTACTTTCTGTAACGTCTAATTAGTACTTTCTGTAGCGTCTAATTAGTAATTTCTGTAGCGTTTAATTGGTACTTTCTGTAGCGTCTAATTAGTACTTTCTCTAACGTCTAATTGGTACTTTCTGTAGCGTCTAATTAGTACTTTCTGTAGCGTCTAATTAGTACTTTCTGTAACGTCTAATTGGTACTTTCTGTAGCGTCTAATTAGTACTTTCTGTAGCGTCTAATTAGTACTTTCTCTAACGTCTAATTGGTACTTTCTGTAGCGTCTAATTAGTACTTTCTGTACTGCTTGAATAGCGTCTTCTTCAAATTATTAGATTTTATTTTTTAAAATGGGAAGGTAGTTCCATGTAAATCCTATTTTTAAAGGCCCAGTTCTGTTGATATTTGGCTTCCAATTGACTCAGCAGTACATATTGGGGCTTATAACGCTGAAATTAGATACTCGCAGTTGGCAGAGCACAGATAGCTCAATGTGTAGTTTTGTGGATAAAAACAAACTGTTGATGATTTGAAAAAAAAGCAGATAATTCGACACTAAAAAGTGCCGTGAGTATCTTTTGTATTTCACCAACAAGTATCTTCTGTATTTCACCAACAAGTTCGTTGCTAATATATTTATTTTTAAGTACATGAACAGATGCATGAATGGTATATAATAAGCAACATTTCATATTGTTCACATATAAAATGATTATATTTTGATAGACAGGGTATCACAGTGCCAACAGCAGTATTGTTATGTTAAATAAATCATTATTATATTTATTTACACTTCATTTATTTCCATAGACTGTAAAACGAGTATAATGATATAAAGTACTATAAGACACACATACACACACTCTCTCTAAACTTCTGGATTAATATATAAATAAGTGATTTATATTTACTTTTAAATTCATACCCAGCAATAAGCTTTCATTTGAAACATCAGTTTATGGTCATTTCTACTCACACAACCAACACGTTCCTAGTAAAAGAAACTCCCTTAATTATTTCCAAAGCTAGTTGTATCACATAAGTTCACTTTCTTGAAACATTTTAGGTTAACCTAATGGTTCCTAAGCGCAACTGCATTGCGAGACTATCATCCCTCTTAATTGTTTTGTATCCACTTCACTTTTGTTCTTAAAATACACTATGTCTAAGGGTTTCATTTTCTTTGGAGCACAGCAAGGACGAGGTATTTTTTTTCTTCTATTCTTCTTTTTACGCATAAGATTTTGAATTATGGCATGGTTACTGGCATAATTTTTGCCGTTACGAACGCACTTTCCTTTACAAAAATAGGCTTCAAAGTGTTTTGGTTTGAGGATCCAATTCCATTCCAGTTCCTCAAAAGAGACATTCATAGAATACCGACAACAAAGTTTTGTTTTTTTGCCACTGGTACAATCGAAGGGGTATTTCATCCGACGCTTTCCTGTGTTGGGTTTTGAGCGCTTGATTCTTGCTGATGATTCTATTAACTCAATGTCCAAAACCGCTCTTCCGGGGGCTTGGTAAGAAAGTAATGCTCCTTTTTTGTAATTCCTGGAAAGAAACTGGTTGGGAAGCTCTGTACTGTTCATTGAGATAAAGGTAAAGTCGAAGGTCTCACATTCACTACATTCGATATGAAGACCAAAGTTCAGAGCAGGTGATTCCACCCATGTTTCGACAGCTTTAGCCACATCGAATACTTCCCAGCCGTCTGTGTCCAACAAAACTTGTTGAGCAGTGACTAGTAGACGTTCGGGATCCTTCAGGTGTAAAGGTTCTTGGAGCTGGTAGATGAAGACTGTGGCTTCTTTTGGCTCTTCACTGTTCGACGCGGCGTCTGAACGCCCTATTCGCCCAACTGCTTGGTGATGGACTCCTTTACGAACTTTGTAGACACTTAGTTTAGCAGAATCGACTGTTAGGCCCCGCGTGTTGTTTGTCGCGTGGTCAGAGAAGTCCAATGGAAAAAATATCGTCTGAAGTCCTCTTGATTGGGCAAAATCGTCGCTGAAGTTGAATTGCAGTGGCGCTGAGAAGAAAACAAACAATGTATTAATGCAAATCCATCAACTCGAAGAAAAGCTTTCCTTTAGGTGGTCACAGAAGACTAGAACTTAATTACTCATCAATATCTGAGTTTTTAAAAACAACAAAAAGGACTAGTTGCTGTAAACGGTTTAAACTGACGTGTATAAACTACTATCAACAATCCTCAAATTCGGTTTAAATTGACGTGTATAAACTACTATCAACAATCCTCAATTCGGTTTAAATTGACATGAAAAACTACTTATCAATAATCCTAAAATTCGGTTTAAATTGACGTGTATAAACTACTATCAACAATTCTCAAATTCGGTTTAAACTGACGTGCATAAACTACTATCAACAATTCTCAAATTCGGTTTAAACTGGCGTTTATAAACTACTATCAACAATCCTCAATTCGGTTTAAATTGACATGAAAAACTACTTATCAATAATCCTAAAATTCGGTTTAAATTGACGTGTATAAACTACTATCAACAATTCTCAAATTCGGTTTAAATTGACGTGTATAAACTACTATCAACAATCCTCAATTCGGTTTAAATTGACGTGTATAAACTACTTATCAATAATCCTCAAATTCGGTTTAAATTGACGTGTATAAACTATTATCAACAATTCTCAAAGAGGATTATTGATAGTAGTTTATACACGTCAATTTAAAACGAATTTGAGGATTATTGATAAGTAGTTTATACACGTCAATTTGAACCGAACACGTCAATTTAAACCGAATTTTCCATAAACTACTATCAACAATTCTCAAATTCGGTTTAAATTGACGTGTATAAACTACTATCAACAATCCTCAAATTCGGTTTAAATTGACGTGTATAAACTACTATCAACAATCCTCAAATTCGGTTTAAATTGACGTGTATAAACTACTATCAACAATCCTCAAATTCGGTTTAAATTGGCGTGTATAAACTACTATCAATAATCCTCAATTCGGTTTAAATTGACGTGTATAAACTAGTTATCAATAATCCTCAATTCGGTTTAAATTGATGTGTATCCTCAAATTTATTATAAAATCCTTTTTAGACATTCCACTTGGTCCATTTCGAGTTGAAAATAATAGGCATGTAGAAATAGCATTTCAAATGCATATTCTATCTCCCACAATACACTATCTGTGTTTGGTAAGATATTGCCAATAGTATATGTTTTCTTCAAACATTCTTTAGATACTGATATCTTTGGGATATTATATCAGTAAATTATTGTATTATATCGTACAGTTTTATTTGTGTAGGAAGCTGTCATAAGTAACCCAAAGAAGCTGATCATACAAGTACAACAGTAATCCTCACAAAAAATTATGATACATTATAACGTTCATGGACTATGTTTTGAAATATCGCACAAGTTTCACGGCTGGTTATCTTGAGAGATCCTGGAGTTGATGTTACAAAGTTATAGCCTTGTAACAACGCTGCTGTCATTTTTAAATTGTTCATTAAATATTTTCGAGACAACCCTAAATCCTCAAATGATCTTCACATTTATTTTACTTTAACCAATCTGAATTCATGTGTTTTGATAATGAGAAAGCAATTTTTGAGGCAATGCAATGAAATAGTTGTGTTAGCCGACTTCGTGAATTTGATTGAAAAACAAGCTTAAAAATGTGATCCTGGAATCACCTAAAAATCGCATTGAATGTTATTACACTGTACACCAGATTACTATTTAATATCGAGATGTGAAATAAGGTCTAAGCCTTTGGGAATTGTGTAAGTATTGTTGGTGAGCTATGCTAAGTAACAAAATCTCCCGGTTAGTCAGAGGTAAGTTTCTGGACTTACAATGCTAAAATCCAGGGCTCGATTCCCCGAGGTGGACATAGCAGATAGCCCAATATGGCTTTGTTCTAAAACACACCAACTAAGAAATAAGTGATTTTTACAAGGGTTATAATTTGGGCCAAATAGTTTAACGTAATCCTGATTTGTTTCTATGGTTTGAAAGTGTTGCTATCATATAGAACGAGGTTCGATGATATAAAACCAGCCGTAAATGAAGTTGGTAACTTTCATTTGGAATATATAATTCATGTATGGAAAATCAAATGCAAAATCCGAGCACAGGAACGAATACACGTTAACCACCTTGGTCACAATGAGCACAGTGACGAATACACGTTAACCACCTTGGTCACAATGAGCACAGTGACGAATACACGTTAACCACCTTGGTCACAATGAGCACAGTGACGAATACACGTTAACCACCTTGGTCACAATGAGCACAGTGACGAATACACGTTAACCACTTTGGTCACATCGAGCACAATGACTAATACACGTTAACCACTTTGGTCACATCGAGCACAGGGACGAATACACGTTAACCACCTTGGTCACAACGAGTACATGGATGAATACACGTTAACCACCCTAGTCATAATGAGCACATGAACGAATACACATTAACCACCCTGGTCACAATGATCACAGCGACGAATACACATTAACCACCCTAATCATAACGAGCACAGGAACGAATACACATTAACCACCCTAGTCACAACGAGCACAGAGACAGGTACACATTAACCCCTCTGGTCACAATGAGCACAGGGACGAATACACGTTAACCACTCTGGTCACAATGAGCACAGGGACAAACACACGTTAACCACCCTGGTCACAACGATATACAAAACTTCTGGAGTAACACGTCCTTTAACCCATTGACTGCTGCTGCTCCAAATACGTGCGTAATTTTTGGAAGCCATACACCGTATACGGCACACTCGCATTCAACTGCGGAGGCGGACCATACCCTATACGACAAACAGCAGTCAATGGATTTATCAGTTCGGTAGTTTTCAACAGCGGTTCCAATTCTATGAACCTTGGTAAATGTTACATTTATTGTTACTAATAAGCTAAGGTTCTGGAACGGACATCGGTTTCAATTCTACGAACCTTGGTAAATGTTACATTTATTGTTACTAATAAGCTAAGGTTCTGGAACAGACATCGGTTTCAATTCTATGAACCTTGGTAAATGTTACTTTAATTGTTACTAATAAGCTAAGGTTCTGGAACTGACATCGGTTTTAGTTCTACGAATCTTGGTAAATGGTACATTTATTGTTGATATTAAGCTAAGGTTCTGGAACAGACATCGGTTTCAATTCTATGAACCTTGGTAAATGGTACATTTATTGTTACTATTAAGCTAAGGTTCTGGAACAGACATCGGTTTCAATTCTATGAACCTTGGTAAATGGTACATTTATTGTTAATATTAAGCTAAGGTTCTGGAACAGACATCGGTTTCAATTCTATGAACCTTGGTAAATGGTACATTTATTGTTAATATTAAGCTAAGGTTCTGGAACAGACATCGGTTTCAATTCTATGAACCTTGGTAAATG